CTTGAGGAAAGGTTCATCCCAGTAAAAAGAATGAAGAAGAGAGACAGAGAGAGAGAGAGACAGACAGACAGAGAGAGACAGAGAGACAGACACACACAGAGAGACAGAGAGACAGAGACAGAGAGACAGAGACAGAGAGACAGAGAGAACAAAGGCTCTTGAATCACAATGGTGAAAGCAACAGTAAAAAAATGCCCAACACCTTCTCCTCTCCTTTCTAATTTCTTGGCCAGAGAGAAATTCAACTTGGTCACTGCTGCCAGAGGCTCTAGGCCCGGCACAGGGCTTTCCCATGCTCTCTGCTCTGTCTCGGCTACTAAGGCTCATGAGCTCACGCGCTTCTGACTGACTCCTTCTTCACCTTTCTATTACTCTTCACAACCACCAGTCCAGAACCTTCTTGAGAAAAGGGACCTGTCAGGTGCCTTGGCGTTCTGGCCCAGTAAGTGTGGAAACTGAGGAGAGGCCGGCTCGTTTTGTAAGTTGCACCAAATGCCCATAACATGAGAAGTCGACTGGCCACACAGAACACAGGACGAAGCCCTACTGATATCAGTAGCCTAGTGCAGCTTTGTTGGTGGGGTGGAGTGGGGGTGAGCAGGGAAGGTGGGGGTAGGGAGAACTTGAATAAATTCTCTAACCTGTCAGCTTCTGGCCATGTGGCAGTACTCACAGCACCTACCTGCAGGGCTTCAGACCAGGGCTTCCTGGGCCAGGCCTGTACTTAGGCTGCATTTTGTTGTGTACTTTAGTAACTGGAAGCTTGGTCTCCTGAGGTTTAACCTGTAGTTCTGGAAAGTGCAGGACAGGGCCCCAACTAGAGGGCTGATTGATGCCTTTCCTAGTGTGGAGCTAGTGTGCACACTGTCAAATAGCTACAATGCCAATATACTCCCCCCAAGAAAACCAAGTTGGGTGTTTTCCAGATCCTTCCTTCTTGGGTGTGTGAGAGTATGATAAGAATGCCTTCCTGGGATCTGGAAGTTTATGTCCAAGCAAAACTGTAGGGGCTTACCTGGCTGGGTTTAGCTCCCTTTCCCAATGGGTGAAAGTTTTCCATGTTGCAAAAACCCTTTAAAATGAAGCAACTGCTGTGATCAGTTTCCAGATTTTTCATCAGAACCTGAAAGAAGCCCCTCTGGTCATATGGTGCTTAAATCTTTGCTATCCTGTGTCATAAGGTATCTTATCTCCAACTACTGAGACAGTAAACATTCGAGTATAGAGGCCCAGTACTGCTACTCGAAGGATGGGCTGGACTTCACTGTTGGTTGGAATGAGAGGGTCCTTCAGGGTGAGATGATGGGGAATACACTTTGCTGCTTGGATGGAGAGGGTCAAGGGTATGTCTGTGTGTTCCCATGGGAAAGAGACGCAAAAGAACTCTTGGGCACTGGAGACCACAGAGAGGCTTCAGTGATGCCAGGATCCAGACTTGCATTTCCAAAGATCATGCTCCTTCTTATCCCACTAGGAGGGTGATACTTAGTGCCCTGTTTTTGTTTCTTGTTAGCAAACCTGGATGACTACCTAAACCCCTCTCCAGCTACCCTTCTGAGGTTCTTGGTATTCACTAGGAAAATGAAGTCCTTCAGCCTTAGCATGTTTGTATGTCTGTGGACATCCAACAAATAGGATTTCACAGGTCCATTTTTTTCTGAGCCATCCAGGCAGGCTGGCCTCCAGGTAATGGTCCAGGTCACAAGAAACGAGGTGCTAGCTATGAGAGGGAAGACAACATACCCTGGACCCAGAGGATTATGAATGAAATGGCTGTGATTGGGACAACCTTGAGGCCAAGCAAGGGAGGAAAAATGGCTGAGTATGGTAAGGCTGCACAGACCATTCTGGAGCTGGGAGTGAGAAGGTCATGGCTAGCTCAGACTCTGCGAGGGGAATGTGGGATGTGGAGGGACTCTTGTGTCCAAAAGTGAAGCAGGAGAGAGAGAGAGAGACAGACAGACAGACAGAGATACACAGAGACAGAGATACACAGAGAGAGAGACAGAGAGACAGAGACAGAGAGAGACAGAGAGACAGAGACAGAGAGAATGCACACACAGTGTGGGACATTAGAAAGGATGAGAAGAGCATATTGAGTCCAAAGGATCCTGGTTACCTCTCCCTCTGGCCCTAGTGCAGAGGATGAGTGGCTTTTATCCCTAGAGATCCTGAGGCTCTTAGTCGGAATACCTTTCAACAGGAAGCTTATGCAGTACCCAAGAGCTACAGTCATAGTCCTCTGGACTCTGAGGGGTGAAAGGCAATCTGGCCTGAAGGAAGTGAAGAGGATGGAAAATTTCTCATATATGGGGCTATGGCTTATCCTTTGGAAACCTTGTGACCTTTAGGGCCAGTCAGTACAGCTGTGGTCAAAACACCTTGCACAATATTGCATATTGTCCAGGGGAACTCCATCATGGCCTTCACTGTGCTTTACTTTCAAGCAGCTCTAGTCCTCTGAAGAGTTTCAAGGAGATGGGTAGAGTGAACTAGTGGCCACTCTGCCAGACCTGCCTGCCTATCAGGTCCTAAGTAGGTCCTTGCCCTTGCATGCACTTGTCTTCTTCTGGGTTATGAGGGTGCTGGGTGTAGCGATTTTTGAGAGCCCTGAGTATTCAGTAGTTAGGCTCTGAGCTCTGGCTGAAACTGCTGTGTGGCAAAGCATGTCCCACTTGGATTTGCCAGGTGACCCAATCTGTTTGTTCCTCCACAGTGAGTCTTTCTTCAGCTGCCTGCCTTGGTTAGTTGGAACAACATAACAACTCCCTCCTCAGAATACCCTGCCACCAGCTTCTCAAATCTGCTTAGGTTCCCCTGGAATGACTCATAAACAGCAGGAGGGTCGTGTCTCTCCCACTGTACTTACCAGGCACTGTTGGGATCCGAAGGTGGGAAGGAGGGGGAGGGGAACAGAGGACCATGGAAGGAAGGAGGGAGAGAAACAAGGTACTATGGGCCAAGGAAGAAAATAAAGGCCATGTTTAGGGAGGAAGTAGGAGAAATGGGGACTGAAGAGTAAGTAGGCCTCCCCCTAGGTAGTGGCTGATTGACTCCCTGAGGCTAAGAGCAGAGCTGTGGAAGAGGCTTGGTGGGTGGCATATAGAGAAGAAGCTTGCCAACTTCCCTCCCCCAAGACAATAGGTAGACAGGTAGATGAATGGACAGACAGACAGGCAGGTAGACAGACAGATGGGAAGTACAGAAAGATGACAGTGAAAAATGTGTTGGAAGTCAATGGAGAGAAAAGGGCAGAGCAGATCTATGTGTGTCCTATATCCACTCTTCATACTGTTTACAGGAAGGAAGATGCTTCTGCTCACCTGGGCATGGCCAAGGTCATTCTATCCTTAACTGATTTGGTAGAGCCTCCTGCTTCCATCTATAGTAGCCCTGAGATCTTTCTTGGCTCTATTTAGGTATGCCAAGAGCACTGATTGCTTTCCATACCAACAGTGACATCAGTGACATGTGTCAGTACATATCTGTGGCTTAGGTGAGAGGTCCAGGGGGTATATAAGATGGAGGTGCATGTGGCCAGTGGTTTGGAGAAGGGCTATATGTGCACACACATCTGTGCTGTTCCTGAGGGGCCCTTATCCTTTCCCTAAAAGGCAGAAAGGACCAAAAGAAGAGCTTAAGGAAGAGGAAGGGCACCTCCCACTGGGGGCCTCTCACCAGTTCCTAAAAAATAAATAAATAAATAAATAAATAAAAGAAAGAAAGAAAAGAACAGAAAGAAATCAAGCAAAAAGAAACCCGAAGAGTCTGTGATGGGAAAAAGGTGAAGCAGTTAAGGCCTTCCGGTCTGCGTGGGAGTGGCATGTTCACGAAGGGTGCTGCAGGGGACTCACTGGAAGGAAAGGAAAGACTTAGCATTGAACAGTCTCAGTAGGGGTCTTGGACTCATACTCGAAGGTTTACTGTTGACTTTTTGAAACCTCCCAAATTTGTTGCCAAAAGTAGGCAAGCCCCATAGGAGTGACCCTGCCTCCATGTGGTTGCCTGCATTCTCTCCTGTTGGGGACACTGAAGGGTGACAGGTTCAGCAGTCTAGTGGCCTCTTCTTAGTCTTTGCAAAAAGATGTGAGCAATTATGGAAGCTTCTGTCTAGTCAGGCCAACCCCAGGGTTCTCTTCAAAATGTGAAATGTCGTGGCTTCTCTGAGGAAGGAGCAGAGAGGATCGGACAAGATTGGATTCAGATCCTCCAGTACTGAGGCCTGTTGGAAAGAGCAAGATGCTTGGGGACACACAAAACAGCACCTGCCTGGCCTCTGAGCTCCTGTTATCAGGGTGCCTCTACCAGATCCTGGTTCAGGGCAGGGCCTACAGGGCAGGCACCAGCTTCTCAGGAGAGGCATTCTTGGTCACCACTGATCCCACCTGGGGACTGGAGACAGGGGCATCCTTTGGAAGCCACCTCAAGGACAATGCTGGAAGTTGTCACTTTCTTCTCCGAGGAGATTGACTGGATTCTTCTGCTGCAAATGATACCACACTGTGGGCCTTTGCCTCCTCCAGAAGGGTAGCCCTGGGCCACATGCTTTCCTGACACTCACCCCAGAACATGGAGCAAGTCCCCAGTCTGATACCAGACACCACTGGAAGAAGTTTGAGTTCATGAAGAACCATGGGTACATGCAGACAAATTCAAGAAAAGAAAACCAATGGCAGCAGGGGTACTAAACGCAAACCAAAACCCAAAACAAAGCAAAGGATGAAAGGCCCGGCAGTGCTGTGGGGTCATTTCTTAAGAGAATATGGCTTTGGAGAGACACCGTCTGGCAGGAAGGACTGGACAGGGCAGTAAAGAAGGAACAGAAAAGCCACGGTGAGCAGAAATGCAAGACTGGAAAAGAGAAGGCAGAGTCGGGGAGGCTTTATCTTCCCCCAGGTGCCATTTATGAGAGAAAAGGGAAGTCAAGACTCACTGCCAGCAGTGCTGGTGGGCTTGGCGGCAGAGAGAGTTACGTGAGTAGGGGTAGAAAGATTGGTTACGTCATGGAGCTGGCTGAGGACCGAAGACCGCCGGCGCACAGCACCCTGAAATGACCCGCTTCTCTTGAAGGTACTCACTACCTCCATCTGTGGGAGAGAAAATGAGATAAAGGTTGGCTTTCATGGAGGTCCAGGCTACCACACAGGATGGGGCTGGGTGAGGGCAGGGGCCACACTAGGGACACATGGGGCCAGCAAAGCCTCAGTTAGGTCAGCCCCATCCCTGGAAGCTGACAATGCTTTTGACAAAGCCATGATTGAGAAAGGATTTGCTGGGCAAATGGTTAGTGGTCAGGAGTGTGGGAGGGAAAAGGTCACCCGTGGAAACACACTGCAAACATTTTGTAGGTAGTCACTTGCGTTCACGATATGCTCATCGAGAGCCACTGGTGAGTAAGTACCTGTGTCTGGCAACACTTCCTTATCCTACTTCGGTAGTTCTCAACATTTTTTTTCTGCCCCAACACACCTGAGGGATATGACATGCTCTTATTAGAAAATGGAAGCATTCTCCAGTTGTGTGTGGGCTGGAGGCTCTTGCCTGGATCCCTGGGAAATCACTGTCCTTGTTCATGGTCCTCTTAGCAGAGGGTCTCTTGCTCTGTCCTGCTCCACTGGTGGGCGGGTAGATAATCACCCAGATTTCTGCAGCTCATTGAAGTAAGTGGGGGGCCTCAGCAGAAGATAGTTTTAGGCAGAAGAGGGGTTTCCAAAGACAGACTTTGTCTTGTCAGAAACTACTCACAGCCCCCAGGCATGGAGGCTGGGAGGACTGTGGGACAACTGTGCCCTCTGCCTTGTCCCCACCCTTTGAACTTCCTAGAAGATGAAGGGGGAAGTACATATGTAGAAAATGAGACCCATGGGAGAACCTTGTGGATAAATCCTGCTAGAAGCCTCTTGACCATTGTCTTTGCATTTTCTGACCCTGCCTTTGACTAGCACTATGCAGGAAGTAGGGTTTGAATGAACTGTACCTGAGCGACTATATCCAGTGTCATAGCACAGGGAGACCACATGCCTAGACTCTGGGAGGCCAGAGGCAAGGCACACTGGCAGCCTCCTCTCAGAAAATAGCTTAAGTGGGAAGAGAATGCTTGAGGGTGACTCCAACTTCTGGAAAGTACCATGTAGGTCACTGAATAATAGAAGCAGACAAGCCAACATGCATTTCTGGAGTCCAAAGACCCTTTACTGCCAGGCCCACCCCAAGCCCTGCAGTGGGAACTCAGTGACCTTCAGTCTCCTCTGGCTTTCTGACAGGGCTTCTTCAAAAGAAGCAGCTTCATTGTTGACACCTTCCTCCAAAATAATGACTTTCAACTTCAGACCCACTGTGGAAAGACTTGTCATCCTTTTATTCAACCTGCCCAATGCTGCTTTTCATCTAGCATGACCCACTTTCTCACTCCTTTCCTCAAGAGAAGGCAGGCTCTGAGGCTGTGACTGCATCTGTGAGGAATATGTTTTACACATGGTTGGGTATTTCATGGAAGGGAGATGTTTGATGCAGTGGTGCTGCAGACTCTGTGGTGTGGGGTTGCTTCCTTAAATTTCAGTGTTGCTAGTCTATAGAAAAGACAAGGGATGGGAAACCTGCCCTTGCTGCCTCAGTTTTGCATCAGTCTCCATGATGTTTTCTGTGATGTCCCTGTGGGATAACCATATCTATCACAATATCACCATTACCACCGTACCCTCACCAGAGGTTCCAGAACTGGCCAGGAACAAGGGCTCAGTCATTGGTAAAGAGTCTCATTAATTAATAATGGAATGCAAAAAAAACAGACCACATCATGAACATTCAAAAAGGTACATGCTCTAGGTTTGAGGCACGTTCTTTTATTGTAGAACAGCACTCTAGCATCTGGTGCATTGATACATTAGCATAGAACAGTGGTGAGAGCAGGCATCAAGTTACTTTGCAACAGAAAATGTTGTGCAGGCCTCCAAAATCCGGGGAGCAATTTTATGGTTCACAAGATCCATAAATCTGGGGGCAGTTGCCTAGAAAACACATACAACCTGAAGAGCCTTCCACAGGCTTTCGTTTTGTGTTTCTATTTGAATCAAATAGAATAAGTTGAGCTAAAGTGACTGGTTCAGTAGTCTTGAGAGGCATGGGGAATCTGACATGATAAAGCCACCTTGAAAATCCATGGGAGTTGGGGAATCAGTGTGGCTTTACTAGCCCTGGATCTTACTGACTGATTTTGGGCCACTCCCTCTTTCCCTGGGATTCCATCTCCTTGCTTGCAAAGCATCTACACGGGCATGTAACAGTTAGAATGACATGGAACACCAAGACTCCAAATGGTGGGACCCACTTCTAGCTGGGCAGCAGTGACATGCCCAGGACCTTACAGACACACAAAGATGCAATATACATTGGTGTCTAGGCTACCACTGACACCTTAGGTTTGGGTAGAGTTGCTGTCTCAGAAGGTAAAAATACTAACTCTATCTTGAATTACATGACAGAAGGAAAATAGGTTGATGTGGGGTGGGGTCACTGCTGTATTCTATTCCTGTGCTTTGCATCAGAACTAGAACATGAGAGATAAAATCCGTCCTGAATCAGATCAGGATGGGGTACTGGGGATGGTCACATTCATAGTCTTCTGGAAGGCACAGTTAGGTGGCCACATGCACACTGGGAGGATATGAGGGCTGTTTTCTGACATTTGCCATGCATTTATGCTAGTGAGTAAACATTTATTGCAGGAAACAAGTCAAAGCTACTTATGCTGCAGCCATGCCTGTCCTAGACACTGTATTGAAGGTACTGACTCACACCATGGGGAGAGGAGTCTTGGGCTAGGGATCTAAGGGTGGCTCTCATCTTCCCAGGCTCCATATGAATCATAGTTAGGGTAACATGACTCAGATGTGGACCCAGTATAGCTCTCCCTGAACATACTGGAGTAAGTTCTCAGGATGCTTAGTCCTTGAGGAAATGCCTTGAACTTTGACTTCTTTGGTGCCACCTCACTCAGTCCTGAAGTATCCTGCTCTCTAAATAGTTCCCCCATGCTCGAATTCAGTGTCCTGGCCTCAGTTACATAGATGTCCCATAGTGGTAGGAGGAGGTAGTATGTGAGAAGGCATAGACTTGGCGACCTTTAACTAGGCTTTTATAGCATGGAAAAAAGCCCTGAGGGTACACAGCAGCAAGCAGTATGGGTGGTCAGGGCACACACCTGAAAAAGCAGTAAGTGTCATAGTGGGGTGATGCCAAGAAGTGGGAGCTTAAAGACCACTGTCAGAAGCTGAAACTTCAGCCTAGGGATAATGGAGATGAGCTCCACAGGCTCCAGGGTGGCAGGCATGACCAAAGACAGATGGAAGGTAAGAAATGATCCCAGTGCCCTGCCAGTGGCAGGCATACCCTCAGAGCCTAAAAGGGAGAAGAGGGGCTCTCTCAGGATGGATACCATTAGATCTCTAGGGGTTGTACTGGAGTAGCTATGTGTACCTTGGATCCCTGAGGATAGCCCGAGGATGAGTTCTGGCAAGACTGCTAGAAGAAGAATATATGGGGAGGGGTGTGGGATGAAGTCCTGTCCTAGTGAGTGAGTTGTCAAACATACTCAAGGAGAATCTATACATCTGATTCTACTTTACCTGATAAGTTCCCAGAGAGGAAAAGTGATTGTGCCTACAGCAGAGGTAGTGAGACTAGCATCAGAGAGAAGATAGCCAAGACTTTGGATGAGAATAAAGCAATGAGTACAAGTGCCAAGGTCATGTAGAGTACATCAGCTAGGCCTTGGAGGAATTGCTTAGGCTACAGGTCAGTCCAGGATGCTGCAATGTGAGGAGGTCTGGTGACCTGATGGGCTGTTTGGACCCAGGTAGTTCCCTAGCAGGATTTTCCAGGGATTTTCAGCATGAGAAATCAGGGTTGGAGTGGAAGGTGGCGATACAATGAAAATAAAGACAGAGAGAAGATGGAAACTCAGAAGCTGTCAGGATAAGCAGGGCCAACAACACTTTCAGAAGGCAATTGGGAAGCATGGAGTGGAAGAAGGCCTTGCAGATAGTGGTGAGAGCCATTAGTGGGAGTGGTGGGCAGTACAATCATGAGAGGCTATGAGGGGGAAGATGAAAATGGGCAGCAAGTATGGAACATTCTAGTAAGAAAGCTGGCCAAGAAGAAATTGAGGCAGAGAGCAGGGTAGTTTGGCACATGGTAGTTTGAAACCTTCACTACTGCCTTGTGTTGGCAGTCTGATGTTTTCGGGAACTATAGCTGATGGCTTTGGCCTTGACTAGCCTAGCCTATGGAGATTTGGACCAACTTGGTGCCAGAGTCACTTCCTAGAGAGGCACTTGCACAGTCATTACAGCAGACTCTAGTGAACAGAGAGCTAGATGAAGACTCCTTGAAATGGACATTTTTTCCCCACACACCCAAAGACATTTTGCCTATTACCGGAACAGCCTTTGTCAAGTAAAGCAGACAGTGCTGTTTTGTGCCCCTGCTTGTGCCCATAGAGAGCCACTACCTGCTGGCACATGTTCTTATCCAGTTATGAGAGAAACTACATGGGCACCGAGGGAAGTGTCAAGGAGAGGTGATCTAAGTGGCCAGCCAGTGGTGGGCACTTCTATGTTGTCGGAGGGGAACTAACCACTGCCTCTGCATACTTGGGGGCCAGATCCGGGGAGTTCCCTGCTGGCTTTGGTGTCTGTATGTCCAGTTTCTGCTTCTTGTTTGCTTTTTAAGGCAGCAAAATGGGAGTCATGTGAAGAGCAGCTTACCTGTGTCTGGATCCGGTTGAGGCCCCGGAACCAGAGGATCTGGCCCCTGCGGAGCTCTCGCTCAGCATGGTCGATTTCCTCCTCCCCTTCGGCCAGCTCCTCATCAGTCATCTCGTCTTTCCCAGGCCCATGCCCTGCTTCCTTCAGGCACTTGAGCTGGCTGGTGGGGATGGTGGCAATGACCTGGGAAAGCCACAGTCAAAGAGCAGCAAACACAGGTGGCCATCAGAGCAGGCTCTATTGTAGCCAGGAACAAACCAGAGGTCCCATCTCTCAGAGATAAAACCCACATCCAGGGCTTGGCAGACCCTAAACAGCCCCTTCCTTGTAGGAGACTCAAGTCTCATCCAGGGCCAAGGACCAGAGAAACCAATGTACATAATACCATGTGAGAAAGAATGCTGGATTTTGGACACTCCTGAAAAGTACCTTGAAGTGCCTAGGGCATCCTTCCTGAGAAGAGTGGACTCAGTTGGGGCCTTGGGCCACCTGCTAGTGTATGAATTTCTTATGGGACACAGAGGGGATGGATACTGAGACCAGTCATCTGACTACTGTATAGTATACTCACTATACCCATGTGATTGACCTAAAAGAAAAACTGCACACCAGGACTCAGCTAAGCTTCCTAGCTAATAGCATTCCACATCTACTAGCCTTCATGGTTGCTGAAAGAAAAGCTGTCTGCCATGTTCTGTGAGATTGAGCCCCATGGAAGCTTATGCCTGACATTTCTTGGAGAAAGAAGTGCTTAGAAAAGGACTTGTGATCAGAGGCTTCTGGGGAGGAAGAGGTGGCAAGAAGGGAAGGCTATGACATACCGTTCACTGTCTGAGTGGAGGATGGTAGGTCACCCTGTCCCTCTTAGGTTCCTGTCAGCATGACAGGAGTAGCTTTAAGGTTCTTTAGAAGAGATTCCTTATTTTTAGAGTTTTGCCACTTTTGCATGTGTATTATTTTTATAATTAAAAATATCCTGAGCTAGAGGCAGGCAGCATGTACCCAGGGGAGAATTTCAGCGGCTACTACATCAGGGAGTTCAAAGGTTAACTAGACGCTGACATGGTCAGGGCAGAGTGGAGTATATGGAGTCTAGGCTATAGAACATGAAGGGACTCCATTGGACTGCTGGGCCTAAGTGTGACAGGAGGGAGGCACAGTGACGGAAAGGAAGAGGTTTTTTTTTTGAAAATGCGATGGAAAACCTGTGTGAGTTGTCTCTGATGATTAATGCCAGAGGCCAACAGAGGCTAGCATCTGCCATAGTCAAAGTAGTCTCTGTGGCCAGCTTGGTAGGGAATACACACCAGTGGATAAAGAAACAAAATTCATAGTGTTATAACCTAAATGATACCTCCTTACCCCCTAGTGGTAAGGCCTAATCATCAGTTTGGAAGTATAAATGAAGTCTTTTGGTTGGAGCCTTGGTCCTACCAGATTTGTGCCCTTATGAGAGGACATACCAGAGAACTCCCTAGGAACACACAATGAGAAAGTAGTTAGCCAGAATCCAAGAAGGGACCCCTGTCAGACACTGAATTTACTGCCCTTGATCTTAGACTTCAAGCTTTTAGAGCTATGAGAAAATGCATGCCTACCATGGAAACTACCATCTCTAATAGTTTGCCGTGGAAGCCTTGGCTGATCAAGACCCAAAGAGAAGTAGATCCTGGATATGCCTTCCCATAGCAGTGTTCCTGAACTCTGGAAAAATACTTTCAGTGCAGATGGAGGGGGCTGGCTTGGTGCTTAAGATTGTACTGGCTGCTAACACCCAAGATGTTGCTTTCTGATCTTATCACTAGGTGCTGCAAATTGCTGCTTCTGGGTGACTGTAACTTTCAGGTCTGCAAGTGTTGTCCTGCTACTTCCCATTAACTCAAAACACCTCATTTTTCTCAAGTTCTCTTTGCCCCACAGATTTCATAGCAGGGTGTTGTCTAATTTCAAATATATTGGGACATTCCAAGACCCACAGGCTGGCCCTCCTTCCATCTTGTTTTTTGTACTGCTGGGGATAGAACCCAGGACTTTATGAAAGCTAAGCTAGTGCTCTACACTCAGATACACTGCAGTCCTTCAAATATTCAGGGTTAGGGGGGCAATTTTTAGCTTCTGCTATGGAGAAGGAAACTGGATGATTTCCCAGGACAGTGTGACATTTCTGCTCTATGTTCTCATTCCTGAGTTTGTCACTTGTGACCTTGCCTCTAGGTTATAGTATGTCATAGGCCTGAGCCTGACCACACATCACACACTTTCTAAGTCATAGGCTTCAAGACTGGGGGGCAGGGAGTGGAAATAATGGGAGGTATAGGTAGGACAGGATGCCTGACTTCTTACCTACTCTGAGGGCCTTGAACAGAAGCAACCAGAATAAAAGCACTGGTGAGAAAGTTGATGAGGTAGACACTCACCTGTCCCCAGACCAGCTCCCCAACACCAACAAATAGGCACCAGAGCCACTGTTCTGTGGACAACGGGGAACAGCTGAATGGCTTCCCACCAAACTGGACGATGACAATCTGGGGAAAGGAATGGAAAGTAGTGGGCATAGGAGCAGTTTATTACCAGGGTAGCTCCTGAATTCTTTGTGTCCTGCTCAGACCAACTTTGTGGAGCCAGATTAACCTGGCCATAGACAAATGTTTTCTGGCTTCATGTCTTTGGATAGACCCTGGAAAATGTGTTGGCATTCCTTCTCAGCTTATTCCCTTCTTTTGTCCTTTAACAAGTGCCTAAAGATAGCTCCATAGACTAGCTGGCCACAGGCCAAGGGTACCGGGATGGGTCAGTGTGTAGCTTCACATGCTAACACCAACACCCACCTATCTTCTGGTGCCTCCAGCCTCCAAGTGAGACTAAGCTGGAGTCATCTTTCTAGCTTCAGCAAAGCTGTTTTCATATTTGCCTGCTCTGCTTGACCCTATAGTATGAGGGTCACCATGAGTTGGCCTCTTGCCTTCCTCACTGTCTACTTTAAGAAAAGTCCTACTCCCAAGGGCAATATTTTTAAATGCTAACCAACCAATCCATAGTGTATAACCCAACGTATCTCAGAGCTAGTTTCCAGGCATCCAGGACCAGTCTATACTCCATGGTGGGCTGAAATGATTTCATGCTTAGCCAAAATGAAATCCGTTGACCCCCTTAATCATTTGATCCTGGGAACCACAGTAAAATTCCCTTCTCACTCGTTCCTTACTGGCGTTTGGGGATGGCTATCAAGGTCTAACATGTGTCTCCTCTTGGAATCTGTGAAAAGTGAACTGCAATTGTATGGCAGTCATTTTCTGATTTGTGGAACTTACTGTAAATGAAGTTTTGTTTGAAGACAGTATACTTCAGAGCATTCAGCCTCTCCTGTGGAGCTGAGCTTGCCAACCTGTCCACAGTGTTGTGGCAGCCAAAGTTTAACATGTCAACTGTGTGTACAACAAGAATCTCCTAAAGAATCTCTATAGTTATAGAAAACCAAGGGGTTAGGTGGTAGAAATGGAGATGGTTGACCCAGATAGAGCCAGGGAAGAATATTTCTAGCAACCATGTGAGCATGATGGGGGGATAAAGGCCTTCCATAACCCCCTGGAAGCTAGCAGATTAGACCAAAATTATCCTGCAATGTTTGGAAGATGAAGAACACCTGCCTTACAATGAAGAAGAGATTTGGGGACAGGGAGGCCAATATCAGTGCTCCTACAACTTCGTGTCCTACCTGAATTCCAAAGGTGCCCAGGACAATAGTGCAGAAGATGGGGTTGCTGAAGATGCCATCAAAGACATTCCTCTCACCATGGATCTTGCGAGCATTGATTTCATTGAAAAGCTGCATCATGACGAAGGTGTTGAAAATGATGGTATAGTGCTCTGAGGGTGGCGAGTGCAGGGGTGCGTTCCTTCCACTGTCAATATCAAAGAAGAGCTCTCCTGAAGGAAAGAGAGAGGCAGGGGCTGAGGAGGGCGATCTGTCAGTACTAGTGGCCACTTTCCTTTATCATATCTGCCCTTAGAGATGTGCAGTAGGGTCCATGGTGAAGCAGGGAGGTATGGATCAAAGGTATAGAGCAGGCTTGTTCTTTTCAGTCTGTAAGTTCTATATCCTGTCCTGTGCCAGACTGAGGATACAGACAGGGCCAAAACATGAGGCCACATCAACAGTGCCCTGAAAGTCTTGTATATGGGCTGAAGTGTGTGCCTCTGGTTCAACTTACCAACAAAGAGCAAGGTAAAGATGATAGTGAGCTGGTAGACAGCATGGCCAAGGATGTTCTTCATCATGGTACGTGAGATGAGGGGCTTGTCCCGGCCATACGGCTTCCGCAGCAGCAGTGACTCATTTGGGGGCTCTGTCGCCAGGGCAAGTGAGGCAAATGTGTCCATGATCAAGTTCACCCACAGCATCTGCACAGCTTTGAGAGGAGAGTCCTGCAGAGAGGGGGCAGTTACTTTTCTGTGGGCTGGCCATGAAGGACCACACAGAGTAACCTTGGAATGGTAGAATATGAAAGCATGCCACTAGTGAGGAGAAACCCAGTTTTGCCAATGCCATGGAAATCTCATTCACAGAAGCCTATCACACAAGTTTCCTCAGGTTTGCAGATGTTTTTCTCCCAGGCTTTCTAATTCCTGCCTACCATGGAGCATTTCCAAGGCTGTGGAGGCAATGGAGAGTGGATGCTAATGGGTATGAAGTATTCTCTAACCATGAGAATATTCTGAGAGTAAATTGAAGTGATGGTTGTACAACACTGAATATGGCAAGGCATACAATTCTGCACTTTCAAATGGTTGGGAGGGTTATTGAGATGTCATTCATACTTGATGTAGATATCAAGAAAAAGTCCCTGAGGGGTTGGGGAGTTATCTCAGTAAAGTGTTTGCTTTACAAGCATGAAAACCTAAGCTCAACCTCTAAAATTTGTATCAAAAATACCTTGCATGGTGGTGTGAATTTGTAATATCAGTGATTGGAAGATGAAGGTATGAGGATCTCTAAGGCTTGCAGCCTAACTAGCCCTACCTAATTAGTGAGGCTTGGGTCCTATTGAAAGTCTGTCTCTCAAAAAGCAAGGTGAAAAGCTTTCAAGGAACACTAGAGGCTGACCTCTGACCTCTACATGAATATGAGTGCATGTGTTATGTACACCTTGCACACACACACACACACATACACACACACACACACACACACGAGAGAGAGAGAGAGAGAGAGAGAGAGAGAGAGAGAGAGAGAGAGAGAGAGAGAGAGCCTTGAAAGGACCAAACTAATCACCAAAAATAGTTAGCTACTTTTTGCCAATAATGTCAACCATCCCTAACAAGGAATCAACAAACTCTGGCCTCCAAACAATGGGGATGATGAAAACATCGAGAAAGCAGAAATATGGAGTTTGTTTGTGACTCAGTCATTCTACTCCCAGATGTATACCCAAGAAAGTGGAAGATATATGCATATTGAAACTTGGACACGAGTGTTCCTAGCAGCACTACTCACAATGTAATGAAGTGGAAGTGACCTGAAGTTTGGTCAATTGACAAATGACAAACAAAATGGGACCCATTTGACTATTATGCAGATATGAAAATGAATAAAGCACTATCCCAAGGTGCAACATGAAAGAATCCTGAAAACATGCTGAATGAGATGTGGGGTGCAAAGGCCTTATGTCAAATCTTCAAATTGGCATAGTGAATAAAGGCACAAACATAATGGCCTGAGTTCAATTCCCTGGGGCCCATGTGGTGGAAAGAGAGAACTTATTCATACAAGTTGTCCTCTGGCCTCCACATGTGCACTGTAGCACATACATGTACCCCTTCCCCTTTGAAAAAATGTAAAAAACAAGCCCCCCAAAGGCCATATGTCATTTCATTCTACTGATACAATTTATGTACAACAGACAAATAGAGGCAGGAAAAAGTGACAGTTGTCAGGAGCTTGGAGGGGGATGGGGAATGACTGTTAGTTGGTGAAAGGTTTCCTTTGGAATGGATGAATGTGTTTTAGAAGTAGATAGAAGTGATGACTGACACTGAATATGCTAAAAGAAAATCTACTAAACAGCTACCATGAACAGATAAGAATTTTGGTATGTGAATTTGATTTCAATAAAAACAATTGGCAGCAAACAAAACATTTGCTCTCAATATGGTCCTCTTTAGCCCGCACTGCTGCCCTTAGAAACCAAGTGCCTCCTGTAGGTCCCTGGTGCCCACCTGAGTGATGCAGGCACCCGTGAAGGCTACAATCACAGCTACCACATTGACTGTCAACTGAAACTGCAGGAATTTGGAAATACTGTCGTAGACGTTGCGGCCCCACATGACTGCCTTGACAATGCTGGTGAAGTTGTCATCAGTCAGGATGATGTCAGAGGCCTCCTTGGCCACGTCAGTGCCTGCAATACCCTGGGGAATGATACACAAGCACAGTGCTCATTTCTCAGTCCTTCCTTGGCCACCCAGCCCAAATAAGGCCTTAATTGAACAGCACTTGTTTTAATCTAACACATTCTATGCTGCAAACTGCATGTTGTCACATGTGCCTGTGAGGGTGCCTTTGCTGCTAAACAACATGGTTGCTAACAGTGTGGCCATTTGTACAGCCTTCCATAAGGCCCAGCTACCAATGGGTGGCTACTCACCAGTCCTTTATATGGCTACCAGAAGAAGCCCTGAGAGATGGGCTGGTGAGTAGCTTGTTCTCTATTCCAGGTTGTGAGGTCCAGGAATGTTGTGCTTCACTACCCCACCACTGAACCAAATATGGACTGAGTGAAAGGTCCTTCTTTCTGATAGGGTGGGGAAAGGTGATACCAGGCTGCTACCCACTGTGAGTTGGGGGCAGGGATCACCATGTAGAAAGCCACAGTGCTCAGTAAGAAGAGATAGATCTGTATTAACAGAAAGAGAGAGACCAGAGGAAGAACCCACTGTGGTCTCTTCTCATCACTCTTGGGGCCAGGGGCTACTTGGAATGGACTGAGAATAGGTAATAGTAGGAAGATGCCGTTGTTGACAAGCCACTGTTCAATGCTTCTCCCTTTCTTCAGTGATGCAGTTGGACTCTACTGTCATCTCTGGTGTCTTCATACCAAATGTCTTTAAACAAATCACATATACATTTGTTAATAGTCAGAGCCCATACGGCCCCCCAAGAGCTCAAGATATGAGAAAAGAAAGCTTCTGGCATTCTGTCACCTGCCCTGACACTGGCTCTCCACTTACTGGTGCAAAGTTAAGTCCAGGAGAAACAGGAGTTCATCTGTGTGATGAACTGGTCTTGTATCAGGTGGCTTACCATGGCAAAGCCAACATCTGCCTTTTTGAGAGCTGGCCCATCGTTGGTGCCATCCCCAGTTACAGCCACCACCTGCCGCTGCTCACCAGTTGTGCTGTCGATAATGCCTGGAACACAAAGCAGGTTAGGGTTGGGTTGAAGTTATCTGCCAAAGGTTGCTATGGGCTGCTTCTGTGTTCCTCGTCCCTTATGGCATCTAGTCCTCAGGCTTTAATGGGATAACTTCATCCCCCTATTTTCACCAAGGTCCTTTACTCAGTAACATAGGCTGGCATGATTTGGTAGAAGGGAAGGTCCCACATTGTCTGAATTCAATGATTGTCTCCATGTCCCAGCTTTAGTTTCCCAGTAAAGTGAATAAATTAAACACCCAAAGACTGATATTGTGATTCAAGCTTCAAGTTTAAGATTAGAGAAGCAAAGCAGTTGGTCACTAGCTCTTACCTCTATCTCAGACCAGAATGACAATCCTGTCTCCATGAATCCTCAGAGGCAAAAGCTCTCAATTCCTGTTTCCTCTTCCCTTATATTCCTCTCTCCACCCAGGCATATCACTCCTGTCTCCACCTCCCTGGTGCTGGGATTAAAGGCATGTGATCCCAGGTGCTGAGATCACCTTTGTGTGACATGTTTCTCTTTAAGATTGGATCAATCTCTTGTGGCCTTGAATGAGCAGATATCTATCTGCCTGTCTCCTGAGTCCTGGGATTAAAGGTGTGTGTCACCACCGCCTAGTTGTTCGGATAACTACTATGGCTGCTTGGATTAAAGATGTGTATCACCATTGTCTGACCTCTATGGCTTGTGGCTAGCATTGCTTTCTGTATTCTCAGACAAACTTTAATAAGTCATAAATAATATATCACATTTCCCCATTTGTTTCAACAAGGGAGAAGCTTCTATGAAACATTATTAGATTGATGTTTTCTAGTCATTGGTCTTCAGAATTTTCCACTCAAGAGTCCAAGAACAGATGACAACATGCATGGATGACAGAGGGAACCACATGTTGAGGAGGGTGAACACATTTGGTTACCTTTGACCAGAGTGTGTTTGTCAGTGGGAGATGACCGGGCGAGCACCCGCAGCTTGGGCCACACCTTGTCCAGCCGCTCCTGTTCTATCTGGAGGAAATAATGGAGGCATCAGAGTCTAGGCTGCAGACAGGCACTGTGGCAATGAGGGATGGGAAGATAACAGAGGGATGGGGGAAGCAACAGCCCAGGACAGAGATGCAGGGAACTACCTCGCCTTTCTCGTTTCGAATCCTTCTGTTGAATTCCTTCCCCTCCAAGCACAGGAAATCTTCACCTGGCTGAATGATGCCACACTTAGCTGCAATTGCCCGGGCAGTGTTGATGTTGTCTCCAGTCACCATACGGACTGTTATGCCAGCACGCTGGCATTTGCGAATGGCTTCAGGGACCTGAGAGATATAAGGATGGTAGGTGGGACTGGCAAGACAAGCTCATATTTTGTATCTGGTATAGATCTGCAGGATCCTAAGTCCCAGCAAATCTGGAAGTATAGTGAAACCTATGGATCCAGTGAAGGGTCTCTGGAGTATGGTTTGAAAGAGTTCAGAGGATGGCCTGAGGTGGGCAGGTACTCTCCCTAGACCCCAACCCACTGTCCCTGGCATCTTCTTTACTGTGCCTGGCCACAGAAATGAGCAGTGACTTAGACTCAGCTATGCTGAGCTTCTCCCTCTCCTGTGTAGTTAGTTTTTGCTTTTCAGCATAGAACTCAAACATTTTCCTCATTAGTTAATGTTTGTCTCAGCTGTAGTTTTCACATAATGTACTCACTAGAGGATGTGGGGCATTACTTGGGATTGCAATGCATGCATTTCTTTTTCAAATGACATAGTAGGTTCTAGAACTAAGGAAGAAGAAAGAAAACCTCCAAGCATGAAGAACGAAACAGGACAAGAGGGTAGGAAGCCATAAGACCAGCCTGGACATTGTAGCATTATCCCAGTAGTGGGCAAATGGAAAGGACAGTTTCCAAACACGTGATATGTGTGTCCCTTCAGGTCCTGGGGCCGCAGAAGGAACGAAACAAGCAGGTTGGAGTAGCACATGCACTGGGGAGGAGGAAGGCCAGCTCAGAATCTGAAAAGTTGAATGAGGAGAGGCCTATGTCTTTGAATTCCTTTGTGGGTATCCTGTGAACAACAGTGGGCTGACTGCTGCACCTGAAGGGGAAAAATGTAGGAGGTATCTAGATTTGGCATAGTCCCTAAACATGGGAGGCTAGAGCAGGCAGGGTGGGCACAGAGGGACAGAGAAGATTGGGGATAGTCAGAAAGGAAGTAGAAGGTGGCAAGCAAGAACAGAGTGGTCCATACTTAAGATGTTAATAGTGATCTGATAATCAAAGCCAGAACTGTTAAGTGACAGGGAAAGACAAACCTTGAGCAGAGTCTAGCTGTGATAGCTCACTTACCTGACCCCTCCCGAATGTGTGTGTGTGTGTGTGTGTGTGTGTGTGTGTATGTGTGTGTGTGTCCTTATGCTCAGTGTCAAGGACACATTCTCTTAGGGTCTTAAGGTGCTGCATAAGACCTTGGGAACAGAGAACTTCCTTTCAAGCATGTGGGTGAGGCGATTCTGCAATTTCATTTCCCATACTGGCTTGAACCCTTCTCTGCTGCTTCCAAGTGGCCATAATGAATCTGAAAGCTAGGAGATTTGGACAGAGTCACCCAGGGTCCAGGTGCAGCCACTACTTCAAGGTCCACCCATATACGCAGTTTCTGAGCTCTCAGCCTCCTACCCAGGTGGCAGAAACAACCACCTCCAGAGGATACCCTCCCTTGCAGGGCACACTGTTCTCTCTTTGTCTGCTTTGACCTGTTCCCTGTTTCCTTCTCAAAGCCTCAATATCACAGCAGGGAGCAGATGTCTGTAGAAGTTCCCAGGTCCACTTGAGCAGTCATCAGCTGAACTTCTTGTGTATACAGTTCTCTGCCTCCCCCTGGTGGCCATCTTATGCTTTCTGGTGCCCTACAAGTTTGAGTAAGACACATGGAGGCTTTGCTGATCCCCAGAGCCAAGACCCGATGTCTGGTCTTCCCGATAACTTTATTGCTGAACGCCTTCTCAATCACTTTAAGCCACAAAGGAGCTATTCCTGGTCCCTGGGCCCTTTGTTATCACCCAAACTGAGATACATTCTTCCTGGCCTGAGCTTCTACCCCAGGCCCTACATGGTACCCACTGAGGATGGGTCTCTTAATACTTATATACATCTTAACACTTCTCTGTGTTTCACATTACCTGAAGTGAAAACTTTCAAAGATATTACTGTAAAGCTGGCCCTGGGGCTCACTCTGCTGCCAGCCAGGCCTAGGCCTGTTGTGCTCACTACATTTCTCACTCCATTCCCAGTTGAGTACAGGGGTAGTCAGTGGACAGTGACCCATGTCATTCGTTAGAAGTAGGGAGTATTCAATTTAGAACCAAGCAATTTTGCTTTGTGATCCTGTATGCAAAGCTTCTTCCCTGTCATACCCAAAGCTCCAGAACAGTTCCCACAGATATGTGCTTTCAGGCTAATGAGCAAGATCAAGGTAGTCTAACATGAGGTGGATTGGAACATAGAGGGCTCTTTCACACTCTTTTCTTGAGGATCCACTCACAAGAATCCCCAATCTTTAAAGATCAACAAACATAACCATCACATGAAATGTGTGCAGGCCAAAGGCTTCAGTGATCTCTCAATGTCAAGGCCATCAAAGGGTAGACTTATTCTTTTTCATTCTGTGCTTGCTTCACTCATATGACTATGGAGATCCATCCCCTCCCCAAAAATCTGGCCTCTATTGTTGGAAGCTACCCTCAGAGATATCACTATGCATAAGAAGATGATTCTGGGTTTCTTTCTAGTCAGAACCTATGCTCTAAGCTCTCCATTTCTACAGCTACATACCTACTTGACATCTCCATGGGTGTGCCCTGAATCTCATTCAGATGCAATCAAGCCCTTGACTGACAGCTGCCCACCATGTCCTCAAACCAATATCTACTTAATTCAGCTGTTTCCAGCTCCTCAGTTTTCCTCATCTCCTCCTTCAGTCCACTGCTCATGCAAACACTCAGGCTCTCCTTTTGCACCTGATAGAAGTGGAGTGTGAGCCTTGACCAGGGGCCAGGCAGGTCCACAGAACTCCTATATATCAAGGACAAGAGAGCTTGGCAAGGGGATTAAAAACTTTGAGGAAGGTCCTATTGTCCTGAGTGACTCTAAGTCTCTGTTTTCCCGGCTGCTCTATCTATAAATAGAGCGGAAGAGGTACATGTTTGTGTCAATCTATAGTGTGGAAATCCAGTGTGGAAAAAGACACCCTGCCACCTATTGGACACCCTTGAACCTGGGAATAGTTAATAGAGCAGCTTCCAGAAAGGGGGCAGCTACCTCAGGTCGCACAGGATCCTCGATGCCCACGACAGCTATGCAGGTAAGGTCACCCACCACCTCATTCTCGTTTTCCCAGTTGGGCTCCTGGATCGCAGAGAAGTCCCTGTACGCAATGCAGATAGTACGGAGGCCATCACAAGCCATAGGCTCAATGATCTTCTTCACCATGTCATCCCGGTCCCGAGGACGGAATCCTCGGAGTTCACCGTTGCTGTTTAAGATGTTGGTACACCTGTCAGGGGAGGGATGGTAGGGCGAGGTAGAGATAGGGAGTGATTAAGAGGAAACAGTGCCAGTCACACTGGATTATGATAGTACATTAACCAATCACATTATAAAGAACAGAAGATGCAGATGTGCACAGACAGTGGAGAAGGTCATGTGACCATATGCAAGAAATTGGAGTGATACAGCTGCCTGATAGCATCAGAATTTGTGAAAGGCAAGCAAAAATCCTCCCTTCCCACTCTCAGGGAGAGCACAGCTTGGCCCACACCTCAACTTTGGATTTCTGGCCACCAGAAATGTGAGATAATAAATTTATGTTGCTGTGCAGGTGTGTGTGTGTGTGTGTGTGTGTGTGTACGTCAAAAGTCATAACTAGGGTTCCCCTGTCACTGTCCACCCTGTTGTTATTTGTTTGTTTTAAAGACAGGGTCTCTGGTGCTGGTGGCACACACCTTTAATCCCAGCACTCAGGAGGCAGAGGCAGGTGGATCTCTGTGAGTTTGAGACCAGCCTGTTCTACAAGAGCTAGTTCCAGGACAGCCTCCAAAGCCACAGAAAAACCCTGTCTCAAAAAAACAAAAAACAAAACAAAACAAAGACAGGGTCTCTTAATGGCCTAGAGCTTGCCAAGAGAGCCCCAAGGATCAGCCTATCTCTGCTCTGCCTCCCCAGGTTTGGAATTACTATTACCTCATCCAGTTTTTTACATGGATTCTGGGGATCAGACTCAGGCCCTTGTGTTTTTGAGACAAGAATTTTATCAACTCAGTTATCTCATCAACCTAAGATTGCTGTTATCTTCAGTCATCAGGTTTGGGGCCATTTGTTACAGCAACCTGTGAAAACTCACATACTGATTGGCTAAGAGACCCAGGTGAGAGGTGGCAGCCTGAGGCTTATTGTATTTTTCCTACAGACACTATAGGACAAGGGTGGGTGTGGAATGTAGGTGAGATCCAAACAATGGCAGCCCTCTGGAACAATGGAGCAAAAACAACACATGGCAGCATCAGCTTCAGTCCTAGCTCTGTCAGGCTGGAAGCTTCACAAGGGATAGGCCTAGGAAAGTCAGCTACAGAAAAGTTGTGTTTGAACTGAATGGGGCCTCATCTATCAGGTCCCACAAGGAGACTGATAAAGCTGACTGTTGAGGTTGGGGGTTGATTTTTTTCCAAGGCCCTTGAGGATAGATGGCAAGAGCCATGTGGGTGAGGCAGAGGAGTTTAGGAAAAGAAAAGGCCAAGACCAAGGGGAAGTCCAGGATGAGAAGGGATAGGGGGAGCAGAGATGCTCAGGGGCAAGGCTTCATGGTCCTTCCCTCCTTTAGGTTTTGTATAGCTTAATTGAGATACAATTCACAAACCATATAATTCACCAATTTAACCTGTACAATTCGACAATTTTTAGTATATCTTTAGATACATACAACTATCTCCACAGTCAGTGTTAGAATATTTTCATCACCTCTGAAAGAAACCCCACTTCAGATATAGTGGCACACACCTGTTGTCCCTGAACTTGAGAAGCTAAGGCAGGAGGACTGCAAATTCCAAGCTAGCTTGGGATACAGAGTGGAGAGTTTGTTTCAAAAAACAAACCAAATGGGGACTGGTGAGATGGCTCAGAGGATCAAGGTGCTTGATGCCTGCCTGATGACCTGAGTTCAATCCTGGGGACCCACATAATAGAGGAAAAGAACAGTCTCCTACGGGTTGTCCCTTAACTTCCACTTGTGTGTACATATGCATGTTTGTGTGACATATACATGAATTCACACAAACAATAAAAATAAAATAGAAGCTAGAGAGATAGTTCGGCAGTTAAGAGCACTGGGTACTCTTCTAGAGGACAAAGGTTTGATTCCCAGCAACCACATAATTACCTGTAACTCAAGTTCTAGGGTAATCTAATGCCTCCCTCTGGCGGTCACTGCATGCATGTGGTACACAGCCACACATACAGGCAAAAACTCACACACATTACAAAAACTCAGGACTGGAAAGATGGCTCAGTTGTTAAGAATAGTAGCTGTTCTTCCAGAGGACCCTAGATGGATTTCCAGCTCTCACATGGTTGCTCTTAGCGGTTGTAACCCCAGTTTCAGGGGATCCAATGCCCTCTTCTGGTCTCTATGGGAACAGCACACACTTGGTACATGGACATACATTCAGGCAAACCATCCATACACATGATTCAACAATAATTTAAGAGTGTAAGAACCAATGATAACCAAGTAAACCCAAAGCAACCACACATAAACATCAACAGCAGAAGCAGACACATTGGATTTCATCATGATTCAAAAAATATCTGTGCATCCACAGATACTATCAGGAGAGTGAAAACAGCAAATTACACGTCTCATGAGGATTTAGTAGTAGTCAGTATATATTTAAAATACGTAACAAAAGAGAGCCAAACTCTCTAGTATGTTCTTCTGAATGTTTTCGATATACCAAGGAATACAACATTTGGGTCACATGTCACTGTCATGTTTAACTTCTTGAGAAACTGCAAAAAACAAAAGTATTTTCCAAAATGAAATCATGTGTGTGTGTGTGTGTGTGTGTGTGTATGAATGTGTTTGTGTCAGTATGTGCATGTGGAAGCCAAAGATCACTTTGTATTTCTTCCTCAATTACTTTCCACCTTATTTCTTTGGACAGGGTTTTTCACTGAACCTGGAGCTCATTCATTTGGCTAGAATGGCTGGAAAATGAAATCCAGTTATGTGTGTGTCTTTCTCCCCCCACTACCACTTCCCCTTCCCTTCTCTTCATGGACCAAGGTACAAATCCAACTTTTACAAGAATACTGATTTTCTTAGCTTTCGCTTTTTTCAGGACAGGGTTTCTCTGTGTAACAGCCTGGGCTGTCTTGGCACTCGCTTTGTAGACCATACTGGCTTCATAACTCAGAAATCCAACTGCCCCTACCTCCCAAGTGCTGGGATTAAAGGCGTGCTCCACCACCACCTTGATGGAATGTTGGTTTTTTTGTTTGATGAGGCAGGCACTCTAAGTCACCTTCCCAGCAATGACAGTAATACCGTTTTACATTGCCACCAGCAACATAGAAATATTCTAATACCTTCTCATTCTTACTGGTATTTAAAAAATGTAAATTGAAATTACTAGGGGATCCTATTTTCTACCCAAGAGACCCTATTTTCCAACCAGTAGAATGGCAACAGCAACAACAATAGAGAAAACCTAGAATGTTGTAAGCAGAGATTAACAGGTAATTTTGGTTCGAACTCAGAGAACTAGAATGCTGATAGGGATGCAAACAGTAGAGCCCATGCTTGTGAAGTTTCAGATGAGAACAAGGACAATATTGAGAATTGGACTAGAGACCATTTTTACTATGCTTTGGAAAAGATCTTGTCTACATTTTGACCATGCACTCACACTCATTGTGAGATTGAATGTACAGGTGATAGACTAATTAATCTGGCAGAGGAAATTTCAAGCATCCTAGCATTCAGTCTGTGACATACGTATTATTGGCTGTTTTTAACATAATTTAATGTGATCAGAGCAAGAAGGAAGAGAGGACTGGTGAGACAGTTCAGCAGGCAAAAGCATTTGCCTTCAAGTGTGATGAGCTAACTCTAGGACCCACATTATGGGAGGAGAGAACCAACTCCCACATTTGTCTCCACACATGTGTGCACGCGCGCGCGCACACACACACACACACACGCACACACAGAGTAAACAAACAAATAAATGTAAATAGATGTAAATTTAAAAGTTTCTTTTTAAAGAAGACTTGCAGTTTTGGCCAGAGAAGATGTGCTATGAAGGTCCAGCCAAGGAGGATGTTGTTGAAGTGATAGTGTCATTTTAAAAGGTCAAGCATTGCACTGATACTATAAGAATGATGTCTGGAGAGACTCTCAGAAATTAGCAAGGCCACAGCCACTACAGTTCAGGCATGTATAAATACAAGTTGATTTTAAAGATTTTTCTAGAGCAGAGTATTTTGAGAGGACAGCTCCAGGATGCCCTGCTTGTCCTAATCGGTGCGATGAACTGTGAATTGTTTCCCTGGGATTGTCCCTACTTATTCATCCAGAAGGGACTCAGAAGTCACTACAGCCATGGCTCAAGTGGGCCCAAATGTAGCTCAAGCTAGTGGGTGGCCTTGGTGTCCTCCATGTGGTGATTTGCAGATGTTCAGAATGCTTCCACCTAGATTTTAAAGGGAAACTTGGGTAGCCAGGAAATAGATGTATCATTGTATCAGGATTCCTCTAGGTAGTGCACACAGCTGTGAGGGTGAAACTGAAGCTACAGTATAGATTGTAGGAAGTTAGAGATGCTCAGCCTATGTAACTCCTGATGAGGAACACTACAGGAAGCCAGCTCAAGGGACAGAGGCAAGACCAGAAAGGTAGGACTGTCTAAGCCCTTTGTAGCTCACATCATGTCACCTCATGGCTCAGATGCCATTGAACATGGAACTACATGATTTAATGTTATGCTGGTTTTCTGACTTGCTCTGGTTCAATCAGCACTCACTGTGCTTCCATTCCTGCCTTTTGGAATGGGAATATTTACTCTCTGCCTTTATATGTTAAAAATACATAACTTGTTTTTGAATTTTATAGGGACTCAGTACTAAGTGTGACCAAGACTTTGAACTTGTACTTTTGGAACAGTTAAGACACTGAGGAATCTTGGGAGTGGACTTAGTGCATTTTGCATTGTGAGATGGGCATGAGCCTTTGGGGGACAGGGATAGAATGTTACAATGAATCTATAATGTCCTCCAAAAGGCCTATATGTTAAATGTTTGGTCTCCACTTTCATGCTGTTGTGAGGTGGTACAACCTTTAAGAGGGGGCATTTTAGGGAAATTTTAGGTTAAGGGGGACATGCTGTCATAGGTCTATAGGCAGTGGGGGCAACTGACCTGTGACTGAAACATTTAAAATTATAAGTCTAAATAAATCTTTTATGAGTTGATTTTTCTCCTTTTTTGGTGGTGGTGGTGGGTGGAAGAACCTCCCGGTGTTGCTCAGGTTGGCCTCAAACTCCTAGATTCAAGACATCCTTCTGTCTCATCATTTACTGCAGTTAGGACAAGAGGTGTGTATCATTGTGCTCATCTCAAGTATTCTAGTAACAGAAAGATGACTGACACAGTGTATACCTCAAAGGGTTGAGAATGTGTACTCAAACTCATACCTGCACTTGAATGACCATAGCATTATTGACAAGAGTCCAAATGTAGAAACAATCTGGGTTGTTCAGCCATCAAATGGGAGTGGAGTTCTGATAAAGGAACTTTGAGGACATTATGAACTATGATGGAAACTAGACACAAATACTACAAAGTACAGAATTCCATTTTTATGAAATCTCCAGAATAGTTCAAGGACAGGCCAAAAGTTGCCAGAGGTAGAAAGGGGGTAGGAAAATCCCCTTATTGGGACATGGGGTTTCTTTTGTGGGTGATGAAAATCTTTTGGAGTTCCATAGTGGTGATGGCTGCAAACATTAGGAATATACTTAATGCAACTGAACTGTATACTTTAAAGTGGCTAACATGGTCAATTTTATGTTAGGTCTACTTTATCACAAAAATAAAACAAAAATTGCTGTGTACTTTAGCTAGCCTTCAGCCACCCGGTCCCTGGCTCCTTCTTGTTATCCACTCACTTTTTGAGCAGGATCTCTGAGGCTCCCTTGCTGAAGAGGCGGAAGCCACCATCAGGCATGCGGATAACTGTGCTCATGGACTTGCGGACAGAGTTGAAGGTGTACACTTTGTAAAGTTTATCTTCTGGAATCTGCTCCCGTACAGATTGGAAGTCTTGTTTCAGGTCCAGGATAAAGCCCAACAGAGCACACTCCGTTTTGTTGCCCACTTGGCGTGGGAGAGCGCCTTCCTTCTCTGGAGGCTGTAAGCAAGGACAGTCAGCTTGGCATCAGGGCCCAGAGTACCCTCTGTTCCATCCCCAATGCCAAGGTTCCCATTTGGCTTTGGCTTTGGTCATCATGTAGCTAGGGGGAAGTGGCATGGAGCAGAGTGAGGACACCTATGTTGACTACACAGGTCACGCCATGCCTGCAAAGTGACCCTTTACAGGTAGTTTCCCATACTTGGAAAAGGTTTCTAGAACCTGCTTATCCCACCCAGCAGCAAGACTACTCTGTCATGCCAGTGACAGGGAGAAAGACAACCAGCATTCTAAGGGTTCCTCTCAAAAGTTCTTTGGTTTTCTTGTTTTATTGAGATGGTATCTGTCACTGGCCTGAAGCCCCTGATATCTGCCTGTCTCTGTTTCCCCAGTGCCGGAAGTACAAGGAGGCTGCTTCCCAGTTTTTTTTACATGGGTTCTGATGAGTGAACTCAAGACTTCATGTTTGTAAGGCAAGCCCTTTATTGACTGTGCTATCTCTTTAACCATTGTTTTTGATTTTCCGTTGTGGAATAATCTTTTTGTACACTGTGAAAATGTGTTACTCTGATTGGTTTAATAAAAAGCTGAATGGCCAATAGCTAGGCAGGATTTTTGAGACAGAGAGAATGCTGGGAAGAAGAAGGCAGAGATGCCATGAGACACAGTGCAAGCAGGATGGGCAGTATGGAGATGAGGTAATAAAGCCACAAGGCAAAAAGTAAATTAATAGAAATTGGTTAATTTAAGTTATTAGAACCAGTTAGAAACAAGCCTAAGCTATCGGCCAAACTTTCATAATTAATAAAAAGTCTCTATGTCATTATTGGGGAGCTGACAGTCCCTACAAAAAGGTCCATCTACACCTTTACCCCTGCTCTGTGTTTCTTTTTATAGTACAATGGGGAAACCATTTTTGGGCAAACCTCATGTATACTAGACAAATTCATTACCAATGTCAATCAGTTACTTTCTCATCAGTCCAAAATTTGTAAGTGAGCCTAGTGTGCTCCTCAGGGCAATCCATGCCATGCCACCAGCCGTAACCCCTTCTCTCAATTGCCCTCTTAGCCCTACTCACTAGTATTTTGGTGGTGTAGGCACTGTTGATGGAGATGGCATGGACCAGAAGGTCAAGGTTCTTGGGGGTCAGGGCACTGGGAGCTGGAATTTCTTTGTAGTGGGTGTCTCCTAGGTAGGACTGGACCACGGTCATGCGGTTGGTGGTGAGTGTGCCGGTCTTGTCAGAACAGATGGCCGTAGCATTGCCCATGGTCTCACAGGCATCCAGGTGGCGTACTAGGTTGTTGTCCTTCATCATTTTCTGTAAAGGGCAAAGATGGAGTCGGGGGTGCTTAGCTCATAAGGATAAAGGCAATGTGAGTGACACTAACCATACATTTGGTGACTTTGGTCATCTTTGGGCTGGGTGGCAATCAAACTGAGTGAGTATGTATGTAAGATGCAAGGGCTGCTATCAGATGGAGAATGGCTGAGCTTCCAAGAAGCTACTCTCTGCATGGCTGACTTGGAAACTATCTGCCAGAGCTCCCTCGTCAATTGCTTGCTAGCTCCTTTTACTGTGTCCAAGGGATGGGCGGGCTCAGTGGGATTCTCTGTTAGGATGTATTAGCAAAGCTCACCTTAGCTAGTACCCTTCTCTCTTAGCATCTACAGCCTTCCTTAGTCCCCACTACACCTAAGGTGCTTGATGACATCCCACTCTAGTTTTATGGTCTGTGTGATGGAATTAATTGCAAGTGGTAGTATTATTACCTTGACAGAGTAAGCCAAGGAGATAGTGACAGCAAGAGGCAGGCCCTCAGGGACAGCTACAACCAACACAGTGACTCCGATAATGAAGAACTTCACAAAGTACTGCACATAGACAGGTGTGCATTCTGCCAGCCACACCCGGCCATCCACGACGAAGGTCTCAATCACAAAGTAGAGGACCAGGATGATAACAGTGATGGCAGACATCACTAATCCTGTTAGGCCACGATGGAGACGGGGCCACAAGAGGTGAGAGGAGAAAAGAAAGGAAGAAAAGTTGAGGACAATGTAGCCATTGCTGGCCTGAGCCCAGCCAGGGCCTTTGCAAGGGGTTGATGGATTTGGGTCATCTTTGGGGATAAACAGCTTAAGGGATGACTCCATGGAGTGAGAGGTCCTAGGGTAGCCTTTGCTCCAGTTTCTCAGGACAATGTGGGGTAAAGACCAGAAAGTTAAGGGCAAGAAACACACTTCTATGAGAGACTAATTATCCTCATATTTTGGGGATCTGATCAGCAGGCTCTCAGTAAAGGCTGCCTCTTGACTATGGTGTGGCCACAAACCTTGCATCACAGGTCTACTAGGTAATATATGACTGTGTGGCTTAGGCCTTATTGGGGTGGAGGGTGCTAAGTCAGGACTTGACAGTCATGCTTGGCTCTGGCCTGCACCTTTGGCTCTACAGTATATGCCACATACTTCTAGAATACTATCCATCTGTCTGTACATGAATTTGCCTACGGCCAGGACAATATTTTGTCCTTTGCATTCACAGCATCTGGAACTGATACTATTTCCAGGAGCCCAGCGTATTCCAGGCTCCTGGCCTGTTGTCTCTGGCTGAACATACCTGCTTTCCCAATCTGCACAGCCAGTTTTGTGAGCTTCCCTTGCAGAACTGACTTCTCCTTCTTGGGTATGTTGGCTTTCTTCTTTTCTCGCTCCTCCATTTCCCCACCCTCAGCACTCTTCAGGGGTTGCATTTCCATAGCAACAGCCCCATCTTGCTTCTTAGCTGTACACAGAGGAAACCCTTGGATGAAGTTAGGGCCTAGCAGAGGTAAAGGGGCTACAGAAGGCTCATAAGGAAAGACATGTCTCATCATATAGGGTTCAATGGAGCACTTTCAATTTCAAGTTTAATTTTTTTGAGACAGGGTTTCTCTGTATTACTTTGGAGGCTGTCCTGGAACTCACTCTGTAGACCAGGCTGGCCTCGAACTCACAGAGATCCACCTGCCTCTGCCTCCCAAGAGTTGGGATTAAAGGCATGCGCCACCAACACCTGCCTCAAATTTAATTTCAAGGGAATCTGTAGGCTTCTGTTGCATCCTAAGCCCAGGCCCTGAGGTAGGCAGGCAGTTGCAGCATTGTCCTAGGTGGGACACAGAGATGGTTCTTTTGTGGGAAGGGTGGATACACACTAGCACAAGGAACTTGTGCACAGACAAGGTGACCAGGCCAGTAATGCCCTAAATCTCAGTACCTGAGAGAAGTCCTGTGGTTGGTCCAAGGAACGTTCTGGAACCAAGATCTGACTCATTTGCCCATAGATATCCAAGTCACCTCTACTTTCTCCTCAAGGACACTAAGGAGCCCTAGTGTATGCTCCTCTCAGCCCAGACATCCATGCTCAGCTTGCACCCTTCCACAGGCTCTGTGAACAAGCCTGTTCTGTCCCTCCTACTAATTCCCTATCTCCTTCTTGGATCAGGTGGCTCCCCTCACTCCTTCTTTTTAGGCCCCTCAGTTTTCATTCTTGCTGCCTTTGTGGTGGTGCCATGGATGCCTCATCTCCATCTTTGCTAAGCTTTGCAAAGTCCTTGGGCTTGGGGATCTCCAGCTACACTGTCAAAAGTAATCATGCCCACCTGCTTCCTCCACCCTTCCTAAGAAAGGGGCTGCCTAACATAGCAGTTGTGGGGGTGTCCCCCAGTTTGTCTTTTTCTTTTCTGCATCCCTTCATCTCACCTGGCAGTCCAAAGCCACTTACCATAGTTCCTTTCTCCTAGCAACCTTGAGGACATGCCAGACCCTATCTAGCTGGGTCATTCTAGCTTTGAGTCCCTACTTACTGTTATCCCATCAAGCAAGGGCTCTAGCCAACAGGATTCCTCCTGTCCCCAAATCCATAGAAACCTCAGTTATCTTCCAGGTTCTAGCTGACTCCACTTACCTGGGAAATTCACAGGGCTGGCACATAGGGAATTTGGTAAGTTACCCTCTCTATGCCTCAGTTTCCTTCAGGGTGTCCATGGGTAATTCTCATACATGGACAAGTTCAAGCCAGGCTGATGGCTTTGGCACTGTCCAGCTATTTTCCAGGTGGCTTGTCTGGGCTTCAGAAAACCAGTGTCTGGTGGAAACTGGAGCATCCTCCAATGGTGTCCCCCTTTACTGCTGAGCTAGGCTGGGACATTGGGGCCCACTTACCTGTCTCTAGGTGCTGCTTCTTCCCTGGCAGCAGGTGGTCCCTCCCCATTCCTCCCTCTCCCTCCTCCCCACAAGCTCCTCAGCTGCCCTGAGCCATGCACACACATTACCTCTGGTTTGGTTACTGTCCATCGCCCCATCCTGCTGCTTGCCTACAATGGAAGAGGAATGACAGACACGGAGAGACTTGAGAACACCCATGTGGTCATGACATACATAGACACACAGGAGAGTAGGAAGAGCTTGGGCACATATAGAGGTTTGTAGTTATATGGGATAGAAGAGGGAAAGGAGGGGCCTGATTGCTGGTAGCCATGGCCATACCTATGGAGGGGTCGTCTTGATGTCTTATACTTTCCAGGAGCAAGCTGCCAGTACCTCCCAGCACATGTTCACTACATACACTCTGGGCTTCCTGAGCCAAGCCCCTACTCAGTGTTTCCCACAGGGCCTTGACCTCAGCTCTACAGTGAGTCTCTAAAGCCAGTCCTGAATCAAGTGAAGTAGCTGTTGACAGTTTTTGGAAGGCCTTATGCCTTAAGGAATGCCCTTTCCTTACATGTCCCAAAAGGAGGTAACTCGTAAGCCATGAACCAAACCAACCCCTTTCTCTGAGGCCACTACTAGGAGGTGTGTGTCCTTCAAAGGGTTAAGGGCTCTGTTTCATGGACCCATTGGGCACATTGAAACTGTGGGTTCAGAGGAAGTCTAAGTGTTAGGTCCCTAGCATCACTAGGGAGAAGGTGCAAAGACTGGACTCCAGGTAGTCCTGTCTGAAACCTCAGGTTGGGTACAGCCCACAGGTGAAAGTTAGAGGAGTTTAACTGGGGGCCACATCTTTACTGGTCCTCATTTAGGGAGAATCTGCCAGCTCAGAATTAGTTTCCACCTAGTAGCTCATGTCACTGGGGCATCAAAGGATAGACAGGGTGTTAGATAGCTTCTAGGCAATAGGACCACAGTCTGGGGTTCCAAGAATGAGAGAGACACCTCCAGCCATAAGTACAGCATGTATTGGACCCTCTCTTCTCAGGGCTCCTGTGTGGGTTGGTGGTAGTTTAGAGGTGAAAGAGATTTCTCTTTCTTTTTAGTATGTATGTATGTATGTATGTATGTATGTATGTATGTATGTATGTATGCATGTATTTGTGTGTGTGTGTGTGTGTCTGTGTCTGTGTCTCTTTTATTTTTGTGCATGTTTCCAGGTCGATGGAGGCCAGGAAAGGACATTAGGGCCTCTGGAGCTGGACTTATAGGGGGCTGTGAGCTTCCCAATATGGGGATTGGGAAGCAGAGTGAGCAACACTAGAAGAGGTAGCCTGGAATAAAGCAAAGCACAGGAGGGGAGGGAGTGACTCTGGAAGAAAAGGGTATATAGGAGTCATGATAAGAGGCAGGAATAGAAGGTAAGGGTGGCAGGTGGACATGGAGCAGCTTCAGAGCATGCTCAATGGGTTGACAGAACCACAGGAGTAAGTGAGACAGTAGAAGATGACCCCCACACTGGACAGGATAGATGCTGTTCCCCGGAGCCTCTCAGGATACTTCTCCAGGAAGTAGGCACACTCTAATTCTCTAAATCTCACAACCTAGCGGTTTTGGAGAAGTTCAAGCAGTCTGTCTGGGAAGGTTTGGATGAAGAATGTCAAATTCAATGAGGAGGGAGGGTCCTAGAGCCAATATGTGAAGAATATCTAAGGGATAGAGTAGGAGGCCAGGATCTTGGAAAGGAGCTACCAGGAACACCAGGAAAGTGCAGGTGATGGCAGTTCAAGAGAGAGACCATTGGCTTCAAGGGGAGGTAGTGGGATTTCCTAGAGGTCCTTATGTGGAAAGGGCTTTCTGTGAACCAAGCAGAACCAAGAGGGCACTAGGCAAGGCCATCTAGCCTGGGAATTCAAGTTAAGCTCATCTGAGGTCCAGAGCCTACTTATCGTTTGTCTGTGTATTCCTGGAGCATACATTAAAGTTGTGGGCTAACACTGGGAGGAGTTCAGTGGAGATTGGGGACTTGGTGCAGGTGGTGACAGAAGGCCTGCCAACAGCAGGAAGGTGCCCATACAAGGAAGCACAGGACCAGACTGCCAGGGAACAACGATAATGGAAGCTTCTCAGTTTATCATAGTCTTGCCAGCTCATGTCTCTAGGTCCCCAGGGACAGGGGACCTAAAGGTCAGGGCAACTAACTTGTCCTTCCTCATGCTGGTCTGTCCCTGTATAGTATAAAACTGATTGTTTTGCTTCTAGGTCTTCTAAGATGGATAGACATGCAGGTCTTCTAAGATGGATAGACATGCATCTGGAAATGTCTTCTCCCTACTCACCTGGGGCTGTGGAAAATAACTGATTGCTCACCAGAGCTATGGTCTGTGCCTGAGTCACAGAGGAGCAGGGCCTGGTAAATAGAAGCTCTATAACTCACAGTTTTGAGTGCCATGGCTGGAGGGGGCAGTGTAGTAGCTTTCTGCTAGGGACCCAGGGCCATAAGGAAGCTGGACTCTCTAAAATCCTCTGGTTCTATGCATTACTGTCCCAAGGGACAGGGCTACACTTGCTAGAGAGCCTACCTGGCTCCACCCCATCCAGAATCCTCTGTCCCTGGCTGTCATTTTGAGTCCTATCCCTATCTGCTCAGGAGACTTCCACTTTGGACTTTGTGGATGCCCCCCCCCCGCAATTTTCCCTGTGGAAGTCCAGGATTGGTCGGTAGGCAGATGAAGAAGCAAGAACAGTAACATAGAAGGAAACTTTTCCATCATCTCTGGACACTGGAATCATGACTGCTGTACCTTTTTTGTCTTTCTTCTCCTCCTCCTCTCCACCAGCTCCAAGCAATGTAAAGATGATGCCTGTCTGGGAGTTCACACCAACAGCTGTTACCACCATTCTTCCAGAACCTTCCATGACATGAGTGCCTGGCATAGAAACAGAGTCTATATGTGGAGGGAGCACAATATTGACCCCAGAAAGCCCTTCTCTTGGGGTGTCCCATCCACGATATCAAAGGTCCTCTTGAGCAGGTTAAGGCCCATTTCTTTGTCCTGTGGCTGGAGCCACACCACCAGGTCTCCAGTGACTTGTTCTGGTGTGGCAATGGGTAGAATTCTCAGACTCCCCAAAAAGAGGGACTATTTAGGGAGACCCTCGTTAAGGTAAGTCCAGCAGGATGGCTTGGCTGGGGATTCTGAGCCAGGCTTTCAAGGTGAACTTACATTGGGCTGGTTGAGAAGATGATCCTTACCTGAGAGCAACATAGGATCTTTGTCTGCTGATTTGCGCACATGGTCCGACTCGCCAGTCAGGGAGCTTTCGTCAATCTTGAGGTCATTGCCTTGGATGAGCACACCATCAGCAGGCAGAAGGTCTCCTATATGCCATCCCAGGCGAGAACCAGAGGCTGTGGGTTCATGGGACCTCCCCACCCTGACCTCCTCCCGCCTTTCCCAGAGAAGGTTCTGTTTTTCAGCTTCTTCCTTTGAGGGGGATAATCCACATCTAACCATGTTGTCCAATTCTCCAAGAACAGGGGCATCACTTGTATCTTACAGTAGTAGAAGACCATTTCATAGGCTGAGGTCAGCCTGCTTCCTGTGGGCACTGTTGTGTCTCAAACTACTTTTCTGACCCTAATCACAACCCCTGTGCTCCAATCTCAGGCCCCTGTGGGTGAAAACACAAACAACTGGGGAAACAGTCTGAGCTGGGGAGGTTCCTCTGGCTCAACCTTCTCAAAAATGGTATTCAGAGTTTTTCTTGGTAGGGTAGATGAAGATGGGCACACTTACCGTATTTGACCTGGGCAATGTCCCCCACCACCAGTGCTGCCACTGGGACCTGGAGGAGCTGCCCATTTCGGATGACAGTAAACTTCTGCTCCTGTTCAATACGGCTCTGAAGACCTCGGAACTGCTTTTCCTTGCTCCAGTCATTGAAGGCTGTGACCAGCACGACACAGATGACAGAGAGTAGGATGGCAGCCCCCTCGATCCAGCCAGCTTCGGCCTCTCCCTCATCCTCTGCCCCACCAGACACATTCCCGCAGGCTGTGTCCAAGGATGAAGGAGAACATAAAGGAAGGAGAGGTGAAGTTATGGGAGCCAAGAGCTGGGACCCCTCCTTCTAACCCAGATCTTCGCCCCTCACCTTCACTTTCCTCTCCAGGTGGTGCATAGAAGGAGAGGCCCAGGGAGACAATGGCAGCCACCTCAAGGATGATGAGAGTCACGTCCTGCAGGGCTTCCCACACCAGCTGCAGGAAGGTCTTGGGCTGCTTGGGGGGGATGAAGTTCTGCCCATAGATCTGCCTGCGTTTCTCCAAGTCATTGGTGTTGTCTGCCAGGCCTACACAGCGTCACAGAAAAGTGGCAGAAGCACAAAAGAAGGTGGTACAGGTTAACCCTTGGTACCATAAGTATCCCTGACTAAGCTGCTGTTGCTGCTGCAAGAATGGTCCTTGTGGCTCTCTGACTAAAGCTTACCTCTCTGGAACTCTGGAGTGGCTGCTTAGAGAAGGTAGAGTGGTACATGCCTTTGTGCAGACCCAGAACTAAGCATAGGGGACCAAGCACAGCCCTTACAGGGAGTACCCGGTCTGAGGAAGGAATGGTAGCCCAGGAAAGGGGGTTATCAATTTCCTGATGCACTTATAAGACACTAGTTCTAGGGAAGGAGGCCTTGGAACTGAGGATGTCTCAATTGCTGAAACACTAGCCCACACCATGCACCTTCCATGTTTGCTGTCACTTTCATGTCCAAGCTGCCTTCGAGGGATTCTTGCAGGGAATTGATAACACCAAACACAAGAAAGTATATCAAGGACACTGTGTGGCCAAGTGTAGCTGAGGCAGGAGCAGATCAGAGCACCCAATGGCTCCCTAGGTTGTGGGTGGGTAGGGAGGTGAACCAATATCTAAGTGGCTTCAGTGGATTTGTGGGGAGGTTACCAATCAAGGGAATTCAGGTAATATTAGCCAAGTTTCACTCAAGCGACAAATAATTGGCTAGGGTCCTCATCAAAGGGATCAGACAAATGGTGTGTCTCCTAACACCTAGATTCCATGTTTCTCTCAGAGTTCTGGTCACTAGGCTCCACACAGACCTGAAAGATGTATTCAGGATACTGGCACCTTGAAAGTGAGGCAGCCTCCGGACCTTGGTCACCCCACCATATGGCCTACTGTATCCAAAGACATGCAGGATTACCCAGCGTAACCTATACAAGGGGCAAGGTACAGGAGAATCAGACTAGGGATATGAGTGTGTCCAGAAGCATAGCTGATGAGGAAGATAGAGCAATGCCTTCTGAAGATGGATGGAGGCCTACTTTCTCATGTCCAGATACCTACATAAGGAGACTGTTTTATGAAGAGAAGGCAGGGGGAGGGGCCTCAGGAAGTCCTGCAGGGAAGCAAAGGCAGAGGTCTGTGGTGTCTCACAGCTAGATGTAGCTTGGGAAGTGATCCTCTAGGTTGTGCAGGGAGGCTATTCCACAGTGAGGAAGGAGGAACTCTGTTTACCAGCTCCAGAGGAGGCTGCTGAGTCTGGAGTTTAAAAGGACCAGCACCAAGAAAGGACAACAGAGTTCCACAGAGGCTGAGCTACCATGACACAGAGTTGAAGAGAGAATGACCCAAGGTCTGGTGCCCATAGTGCCCAGGAAGTGTCCAGACAGATGGGTCCCCTATACCTAACACTTCTTAGAGCTTGGCTTTGGGGCCAAACATAAGCTGTGGGCTGGGGACTGCATGAACATGGTGGCTTCTACCCAGAGCTACTCTGCAAAACTCAGTGGTCAGCCTCGTCAGGAGCCCCATGGTCTGCTTTGGTCTCACAATGACTCCTCATTCAATTCAATTCTGTCACTTGTCATCTCTGAGGATGAGAAATAGGGATGGCTGAGGCTAAGGAGACTGTCCATGGTTCATGCACAGAACAAGGAGAGGGAAGGGAATTTCCAGCACAGGCCCCCTCAGTCCTAACACGAGACCCTTCAAGCAGTGCAGGGTCCAGGGGCAGGGAAGGCCTTAACTCATGACTGCAGAAACCTGGAGGTAACCTCCATATAGATCTCAGGCAAGTGAGAAATCGCCACACCTTTATCCTTGGCTGGCAAACTTCTCTGCAGGCTGATCCTCCTCAGGTTCACCCAGGACTCCAGCGCTATACCCCAAATGGACCAGCTCCATGCTGACACCCAGTGGATGGAGGGCAGCTAGAAGCTCCCACCAGAATCATTGGCATGTCTTCTACCACCTGCTGAAGGAGCTGAGTAGTGAGCAAAAGGGCCATCCAGTCCATGGAGCATGCACAACAGGCAGGATTTAGAAAGGCTTGTAAGACTAAGCCTCAGATTGTTCACCAATAAGGAAGTACTGACAGTGGGCCTTCTGCAGAGGAGCAGGGTGGAGCTCGAATGAAGCGGAAGGACTGACAACAGCAAAAGTTGCAAGCAGCACAGCCTTGGCACGTCCACACCACCTAGCCACATGGTGTCCTTCCCACCCAGAAGGGATGCAGCTGTCCCTGCCTTTCTCTCCCTGGCCTCATTGAGCCTGGGCTGGGCTGGCAGCTCAGATTTCTGCTGGGGCCAAAGACCTCTTTCTGAAGGCTCACAGCTTTCCCAGTAGGGTGTCTGGGAGACCTCAGCCTCTGTGGTAGCAGTGGTGGGGGTAGGGACCAAGCCGAGGAGGCCCAGGTTTTCTTCTAGATTGAGCCTTTCCTCCTTAAACTTCAGGAGCTATGAGAGATGCAACATTTCAATGGGTGAAGCAGAACTCTGAGCTCCTAGACACTTGGAGTCCACATTGCCCTTGGGGAAGTGACCCATTCTAGCTTCTAGAAAGTTTGAGTTCCATGGCACCATGTGATTCTGCTTCCTGACTATCCCACTTCACATGCCCAGATTGTTCCCAAGGTCAGTGAGGCCCTTAGTCCCTTTCCTCCAGGATCTCACTCCCTTCTCCTCCTCTGCCTCGCCCTTGGCCTTGGATCGTCCTTGCTACTGCAGCAATGCTCCCCCATATCCTTTCCCTGACACTGGAAGTTGCCTTTAGATTGACACTGAAGCTTTGGCCTTTCTGTAGGGTTGGGGGTCCCAACAGTTGCTACAATTGCTATGGTACCATTGTTTGTGTGTGTGGTAGAGAAGGCAGCTGTGGCCCCTCTAGTTCTAAGCATGTCTAACCTAGCAGGTTTAAGACATGGGGACAGAGGCTGGGTGGTTGGCATGGACACAGATGGGCTGTTTGCCCAGAGCAGAGGCCAGATGCCATCATAATTGGATTAGGACCACATTGTGTTGGCTCTCAGCTAATCTGCCTCCTTCTTTTGCCTGCCTGTGGAGAGCAGACAAGATGGGCAGGGTGCAGAGCCCCCTAACCAGTCTACCCTGATGTTCCTCACCAGCAGGTAGGCCCTTCTCCAGGATGGGTTCTGGAATCCTTCTGGATCTCTAAAGAGGCTGGGAGATTAGTGAATTGGTGCAGTAACTACATAAGTCCTACCCACCATATCACATACCTACCTGGCCCCCTTGTCCTCTGTCAATCCCTTCTGGATACCAGAGGATTAGCATGGGGCCAGAAGCACAGTTAAGTCTGCCCCTTCCACTAAGAAGGCCTGCTGAGGAGCCTGCCTGCTCAAGGCTTGCTGCACTGAGTAACTGGGGGAGTGAGAAACACCTGCTCCTGGCCCCAGACAAGTGGACCTTAAGAGTCTAGGGGAAGGGCTGGTCCCTGGGCTGCCATGGGGACCTAGGGTCTCAAGGGCCTGTCAGAGGTTGAGCCACCCACCTGGACACTTGCCCTTCTCCATGTCCACCCCATTTACAGGAACCAGATGAGCTTTGAAGCTCTGTGGCAGAATCGGGCAGGTTCCCAGGGGCCTTGACATTTTAAATATTTAACAAGGCCTGACAGGCAGAGGGAAGAGCTGCCAGCCGAAGCCCATCTGCTTCCTTTGATCTGGGAGACGCCAGAGCCCTTGTGGCTAAATGGCCCTCTACCCCAGCCTTCTCAGAGGCCCCAAGTCCTCAGGGGGCTGGGTGGACAAGGAGGAGGACGGAAAGAGATCCTTTGGCATGAAGCCCAGCCATCTGCCCTGACAGAATGCTGCTTCAGGCTGGTTACGTGTATGTTGTAGGCAGGCTGAATAGGCTATCCATGGGTTCAACAGCTCTATAGCTCAGTTCAGGAAGATCTAGATGACCCAGGGAGGACACCATACCTGGAGTTCTTAACCTGGCCCATGGACCTGCCTTCTTCTATTTCTAATGTTCCCTTGGGCCCATGCACCACTTCCAATGAACAGATGATGCTTTCTTCAACCCACTTGGGGCAAGGCTAGAGTAAGAGCATCTGGTGTGCCCTAGAGGCTCTGAATGGGGGAGAGGGCAGAACAAGGAGGCTTGAGGCGATGAACACAAGTGTTGCAACCAAAGGACTAAATTAGAAAGAAGAATGGGCAAGACCTGGTGATGAGTGGAATGGGGAGCCAGGGATCAGGAGGAACCCAGGTGGTGGCTGGGACTTGCAGGACTGGGTGGGCCAAAAATGCCACCACTGAGATGGGCAGTTGATAAAATCAATCATCACTGGCTGGGAAGGAGGCCTGGCATCAGGTTGGGATAGTTCCAGCAATCCTGCCATGCCAGTGTCAGATGAGCCAGAAAAGGTTCCAGCTCTTGAAATCTGGGGATAGATTTGGCTCGTTGGTGATCCAGTCTCACAGCAGACCCCAGCATCAGGGAGTTGAGGACCCAAGATGGTAGTCAGACCTCTAGTCTAGATCTTCTAGAGGATTCTTGCCATGTTTCTTCTCTACAGGCTGACTTGCACTTTCTCGAGCTTTATCTCCCTGAGACAGCCTGTGGCTGCTGCCACTTATTTGTGTGTGTGTGTGTGTTCATATGTTCAAGACCAAAGGTCAGTGTCATGTCTTTCTCAGTTGCTCTCCACACCTAATTGTTTGTGACAGAGTCACTGAAATTAGAGTTCACTGATTGGCTAGACTGGTTGATATACAAGCCTCACGGATTCTCCTATCTTTGCTTCCTTGGTGCTGCAATTACAGAAACACACTCCATGATCAGCTTTTTACATGGGTGCTGCAAAGTCAAATGCATGCCCTCATGTTTGCACAGCAAGCACTCAGCAATCGCCTCAGTCCCAATCATTGCCACTGGTTCAATGTGACTATTGGGCCCTACTTTTTGTCTGCTGTTCTCACAAGACTCAAATATCTCTGTGCCATCCTTATGTGACTCCTCCCTTCCCATAGAGAGGACTCCTGCACACTGCACGCCCCCCTTTTTCTGATTCCTCTTAACTGAGCCCAGGTTTATGCACATGAAGTCCAAATATATAGCCAGAGACAGTAGGAGACAGTCGACACTGCTCTGTTTCTTGAAAAGAAGTTCAGGATTTCCATTTGGACCCCCACCTTCAGTGGTTCTCATCTGCCCTTCCTTCTCTTTTCCTCTTTTACAGTGGAAAGTGACTGATCACAGGTGTGGAGGAGGGCTCAACTCACGCCCTCAGAATTTAGTTGCCCAGAGAATGACAATCTCCCCCTGCACAAAGTACCTTCTAGTCAACACCAAGTGACTGAGCAGAGGGTAACAATCAAAATCTGTTTCTGTGTCCTCCAAGGGTCAACTGGTCTTACCTCCACATTCAAGGCAGTTATAGTAGCAGCACCACAGAACCCCAAGTGTGTCCCAGGGGTAAGGCAGACCCTGAGTTCCTAGGATATCCCTTTCCCTGTCCAACCCGGTGGACTTACCCTCAGTAGGAGAGGTCTTCAGCCTCCTGCACAGCCCACTGACGTCTCCATAGGCTTCCTGAATCTTCTGCAGTGCCTCGGCACCTCGGAGCTCCATGAGGCTGCGTAGCTCTGCTAGTGTGCACCCAAAGCCACCCACATGGGGCACTTCCCGCTGTTGCTGGGGCTTGGGGTGGAACTCGATGGAACTGTTCGCCATGTCACCCATCTTGTCTGTCAGGCCTTCTCACAGGTGCAGCTTTGACTCAGTTGCAGCTAGGGACAGGTGGCCACCTACGATCCCAGTGCTGAGGTGAGGCAAGGTGGTGGTGGGAAAGAGGCTAAGTGTGAACACCTGGGGAGAAGGAGGCACGAAGAGGCCAAGGGACTGGTTCAGACAAAATGAAGGTCCATGGTTCTGGGAGTATTGTACCCATCTTCATTCAGTATACTCCATGACTAACAAATGCCAAATTGACCTCCCAGGTTTCACCTGCTAGACCAGCCCCACTAGTCATGAGCCCAGAGCTAGAGGGTTTGTTAGGTGGGGTAGCAGGGAGTGGTGAGACCCCTTCTGCCACCAGCACCAGCCAGCTCTCACTGCCTCTTCTCTAAATCACTTGAAACCCCATATCGAAGTAAGGCAATACATTTGGGGTCACCAGTAGCTGCTCTTGTTTCATATGCACAAGAGTCAGTGCCCACAACCAGCTTCTTGCTTGACCCTCACACCTTATTTCCTATTCTTGCCCGAGCAAGACTTGCCCAGTGCCACTGCCATGTTTTACATCCCCAGAAGTCCTCAGTGGCTCAGGCCTGGGCAGTGAAGGGCTCTAGGGGATAGACTGAGACATGGAAAGGGACAGCTGCACTACTTGTCAAGATTGAGTGTGCAGAGTGTTTCTACAACCATCAGGGTACTTGGGGTGGGAGGAGGCCTAGTGGCAGAAAAAAGAGGATGAGGGAGGGAAGGAGGTAAAGAGGACTGGACAGGTAAGAGAGGGTAAGGATAAGGGGAGTCAAAACAGAGGTACTGGGATAGTACACACAGGGAAAGTCCAAAGCAACCACAAGTTACTAGTGAGTCTGATGACAATTGAACTAAGATGTTCCTCTCTGAAAACATCCAGCCTGGTGTGGTGGCACATGACTTTAATCCTAGCACTCGGGAGGCAGAGGCAGGTGGATCTCTGTGAGTTGGAGGCCAGCCTGGTCTACAGAGCTAGTTCCAGGAGAGCCAGAACTATTACACAGAGAACCCTGTCTTGAAAAAAACCCCAAACCCCAAACAAACAAACAAAACCCATCCAGATCACTACCAGGTCATAGCACCTTCCCCTTTCATAGGGCGTCTTGAGTCTATCACCTTTCCATCCTTTGCACAAGTCTATTATCTTTCTATCCTCACCTAAGGAACTATTGCCTCTTGTAATTGACATCTGCAGCCTTCGTGGGGTCTGACAATGGGGTCATTCTCCTATTGGACCTGTCCTTCTCCTGCATTTGTCCTCCTAAAACTGAATTATTCTCAGAGTACAAGGCTTTGGCCTTTGTATCAGCAAACAACCCTCCTGGAAACATGCTTGTCTGGACCGGACCTTTTATTTTTGGGCAAAAATCTCCTGGCTCAGCTCCTGGCTCAGAACAGTCCTCTCAAAAATCAGAACTCAGGCATCCAACTACGTTTCTGATCTAGACCCACCCATGCAAAATCAATAACTTACAGCCTAGAAAAAGGAAAAAAAGCCCTCATGTAGCTAAAATAGTGGTCATCTCCATGGCTTTTACTCTCAGGAGGGTCCAGTGGGTTAGATTCTTTGAACCCTATGGGGTGCCATGAGGTGAGAATATCATGTCTGGAGGAAGAGCAGAGGCATTGGATGAGGGGTGGGGCAATGAAATATTCCCACACATGCTCCAAACATAGAGGCTTCAGCTGTCAAGAAAAAGTATGTGTGCCTATCTGTAAGGTCTGATGGACAGGATTGGGGGCACTTATAAAATACCCATCCCAATTGGTCACCATTTCACAATTTGGGTACCAGAGTGTTAACTGTTTCTTCACTCTCTACATGGACCAGCTTTCACTTCTGGAACTTCCCCATCTTCTCTCAATCCTGTGTACCAGTTTTCCCAGTTGGTTATCTAAAAAACATTTCTTGGGCATCTATTACATGGTAGGTACTGACTTTTTGTGCTAGAGGTTGACAAAACTAAACCACTAGCTTTTCTCTGTGTGGCTAAGCTATAGAAACAAGGTTTGGTTCAGAGACCCAAAGTCCTGGGATTTCAGGAAGGACAAAGGGAAGAAAAGACTGGGGGAGGGGCAAGGGACTGTGGCCCTTCTGCTTAATAGAGCAGCAGCATCTGGAAGCACGGGTTGGGGATGGCAGGGGCAAGCAGTAGGCCCACAGGAAACTGGTTAGAATGTACTCCTTCCACTGGTGCTCTGTGAATTCGCCATTCCAACCACCTAGAAGGGTGTGACAAATATCACTCTCTTGTCACTGCAAGAAGTCAAGGCTTGATTAAGAGAAATGACAGAGTCAGAGGAACTTGAGACTGCTACCTCAAGATACCCATGTTAGTTTTCCACTGATAACTGCCTTCCCCAATCCCTATCCCAAGTGACCTTGGCTTAGGATGTTGTCCTGACTACTTGAGGGTGTCCCTCCTCCCCTTTTCTCTCTGACCACAGCTCCATTGCTCCCAGAAGTCCCAGTGCATAAGCAGTTGGATTTGTTGTCAGGTTTGAGTTCTGTTCTCTACTTCTGCCACCCCCAGACTGCTGGCTGCTGGAGAAGATGAATAGGTCTGGTTTGTCAGGGTAGACACTGTCTTCAGTAGGCACCTCCCCCACCCATGAGTAAGCTTCTTGGGCCCTAGTCAGGCAAGGCTTTTAGGAAAGACCAGATCAACAGGGCTATACGTACCCAGGTATTGGCAAGTGACATGGGAGGGTCCTCATTGGCTCTCAGGCTCTTTTAGCCCTTGTGGAACGGTGGGCAGTACTTGTCTCAGGCTCTGGTGATCTCATAGACAAGGACTCAGTACTACATTCATTCACCCCATGCTTGAAGCCCCAGGGCTTCAGCCAAGAACCTGAATGTCCCAAACTGAGTTGCCTAAGGACTCCATAGGGACTCTCTGGGAAAGGGAAGCCAGATGAAGGATTTTATTCCTTGGAAGCCCATTAATCTTTTCAGCCATTCTGCCCACCTGGAAATAAGACGTCTCTTATGCTTGGGGTGAGCTCTGAGATGGATGCATGTTCTTTAGAATAGGTGCTTGTAGGTCACTACTACAGTCACCCAGACACAGGAGTCCTGGAGGAGATCAGGGCTTCCCTAATATTACCGAAGCATTTTTGTCACCCCCCTCCACCTCCCTGTCCATAACCTGTAGTGTAGAGCTACTCCTGGTTTTGCAATGCTGTCATCGCTGAAGATGGCTGAACCTTTGGTGCCTCATAGTTATGACCCTGAGTAGGTGGGTAAAGTGATTGGTTTGATGAGGTTATGCCGTGTTACCTCCCTGTACCCCAAGGGACTGCTGGAGCTCATAGCACCCCTGCTCCTGTGTGACTGTCTTGGAGTCAAGTTGCCCCCTCCACCTCAGTATCACCCAACACTCTGACTGCCAGTTGCGGCTAGCTCCCTTTCCCCCATTTCCCACTAAGTAAAGCTGACACCCTGTCTGTCAACAGAGAGATCTTCCCTACAGGCTAACAACTAGTGGCCATGCTGCCCTGAAATCCCCTTTCCTTGGTTTAGGCACCACCACTCCAGGAAACTCTTCCTATCATGATTGGTTCTGCCATACACTGTTTCAATCTCCAGGCCCAATTAAAGCACTTTCCAGCCCTTGGCCTGTTCCCCATGCCCCACACCAGTGGCCATCACTCACTCTACCAGAGACCATCTCTGAACTCCAACAACACATCCTTCTTTCTCATCACCACCTGCTGGCATCCAGTGGCTTCCATTAGTCACGGTTCCTGTGAAACATTCTCTAGAATGTATCTATGAGTTAGTTTTATAGTCATAATTAATTGCTGCTGAGCCCAAGATCCTGTGATCTATTCCTGCTTCCCAGAGCTGGGCACAGCCATGAACAGAAGTACCTTTACGTGTATCCCTAATTTTTGAGACACATTGTTGACCACTGACTTTCCAAAGTGCACTGAGTGATCTATCCCAGGGGGTGATGGGGCTGGAGAAATTAGTGAGTGGGGCTCTGGTCCACAGAGAAGGAACTTAGAGCTCTGGAAGGTATCAGCACTATCCTGGACAACATGAAGCCAATAGGGGTGAATACTCATACTTTCCTCGCCTTCATTCACTCCACAGGCCACAGTTGAGATAGAAGGCACCAGTTAATGGGAGATCCCCGAGTGACTCTTGCCTATTGTAGAGAGAAGAAGGGTTCATCCCCGGGTTGTCTGTAAACCTGGATGATGGCCTCCTCCAGTTTTAATCAGGACATCAGCCATCGCTGAAATGGCAAAGAACAGAAGTGACCAGCCCTATCAGTTGTGTAGGCCTGAAAGAATTTCCGGCCTGGGCTGACTGCCGAGAACAGCCTGTAGACATCAAAAGGGCAGGGAATGTACCATTTCTGTGCTCTTTCATCTTTCAGACCTTAATTGCCTTAATTGAATTGAGAACCTCCTCAGAGGGGCACTTGGACCTTCTGGTATTTGCTCCATCCTGGCACAAATTGGCCAACATTGTGAGGTAGAGAGAGCAGAAACCTGCATGAGTTCCCTGGCTTAGCTCACTCTCACTGTGTGACTATCAACAGGTTGCTACCTTAGGAGATAGTGAGGATGTTTATAGCACAAGTCCAGACCCATCACCCAGATGCCTTCTAGACTGTTCCCTCTAGTGAGGCCTGGACACTTCAATCCCATCAGATCCAAGTGGAGCACTTACTCTTCTATTGATTCAAATCTGCTTGACCAGAATACAGGCTCTTCCTTCCTGGTGTCCTCCCCCCATCTCCCTTTCCCTCTCCTTTTTCCTCCCTCTCCCCCATCTCCCCTCCTTCTCCTTCTCTCTCTCTCTCACCGCCTTGAATGGGTTCTCTGCCAACTCCTTCAATTTAATATATGCGTGCTTTCCCTGACCCTAGACAGCCCTTGCCCTTCAGAAAGCTGTGCAGTTCTTGAGGGAAGGACCCTCTGCTTCTAGGCTTCCTCTAGTGACACCACTCTTAATACTGAACTTTGAGTTTTCAATGTCCATGGGATAACAATACCTACAATATCCACCAAGCCTTGTTGCAGTTCACTGTGCACAATACCTCTTTCATAAAGGGGGAATTAGGGTTCAGATGGGACCAGAGACTTCAGGC